CCCCAAAACCCCAAAACCCCAAAACCCCAAAACCCCAAGAGAAAAGATTGAAAATAGTATTGGAATTTAAGTATTAAGATGACTTATTATTAATTGCATGTATAGTTTTCATTCAGCTGCTTGATCATTATAGTATTCATCTCTTAATCTTTCAAAATCCTCTGCAGAAGGTCTTGTCTGAGTGTAGAACTGTGTGGCTATATTCGACTCTAACTTGAGAGCTTCTTCCATAATTTCTTGTTGACTGTCTAATTTTAGGATGTCCTCTGGTGAAAATGGTAATTGCTTTTGCTTTAAAGCTTCTTCCCATGACTTCATAACTAATGGCAACTTCGATGGAGCATATGCCCTTGCAAAAAATGCTGCTTCTGAAACTCTCTTTGACTTTATTAAGATAGTTATGCATCTCTCAGCATCTCCAACTAAATAAGCTGCTTCGAAAGCAACATTGTATTTTCCACTTCTATCAGCAGCATCAACAAGTTTTTAGAGTCCTTCTAAATCTCCGTAAGAGCTGTAAAATAGCATGAGACTGTTGAAGTCTTAACTCTTTTCAAAGCATTTCTCTGCAAGCTCAAAAGATCCAGCTAAAAGTGCAATATCTGCTACTTTCTTCCATTTGTCAACTGATTCTTATTCCTCGGCGATAGCAAATGCTTCTTGAATCTTATTCAAATGAATGGCAAGCTCAAATTTATGATCTTTATCTGGAGTGATTTAGAAAGCAAGCTCTCTTTAATTATTAGCCTCTAGGAATTTAGCCAATTTAGAGTGGAAAGTCAAAGGAATATCTCTAAAGAATTACTCAGCACCATGAAGATCTTCACTCAAGATAGCAGCTTAGAAATTAACCATTGCGATTAGGAGAGAATATGAAATAATATTCAGGGATTTATCTATCAAGTATAGTCTGCTTTACTTTGAATCATATCCTAGTATAAAGTATTTCTTGTCAGTATTAGTGAGCTTCATAATCTTATTTCCAATTAGGTAGTTAATTATGCCTTTTGAGTTAATGAATACAAAGCACTCATTACTGATCCAAATTCCGCTATTAACAGTCTCATTAAATTCTTCATTAAACGTGAATGCCTCTTCGATTCCATCTTCTGAAGCGTCCCCACCTCCTAATTACATCTTCTTCATTGCTAATTCGACTTCATCATTATTATATGAGAGAAGATAGAAAGTTTCTTCTAAAGCAAGAATGAGATTTTGCCCATTTTCAGACCAGTATACATTCTTTGGAGATGGGTTGACATCAATTCTTCTTACTACATTGAATTGATCCCAATCATAGAAAGTGATGAATTCTTTGCTCTTGATAGCTAGTAATCTGCCACCATATATACCCTCATTTTAGAAATTGGTCTTGAATGCTTTATGTTCGCTGAAATTCTTATATACTTTAACTGTACCAGTTTCAGTCTTTACTGCATAAATGTTTTATGATTGGTTCACTGTAGCCCAAACTAAGTCATTTCCAGTACCAAAAGCAGTATTTGAGTACTTTGGATATTGATAAACAACGAAATCACTGTCTCCGCAGATGGCAAAGTATCTTCCAGAAGGAGAAAATTTGATTGTTTATGGGAAAGTTTCTGAATGGCCAAGATCTTTTACTATAGGTTTAATTTTTTCGCCATCTTTCAATTCTTCATTAATCAATTTCAAGTTAACTGTTTAAATCTCGCTTTGTTTTACCCAGACAACTTTACCATTGTTAAAGCTAGCCATAGGAGCTTCTTTACCAATCTTGATAACCATTGTAGCCTCATCAAAACCAAAGGCTACATAATTAGACTCAGGTAAGGCATGAATAGCCCAAACTCTTTGTAAGCCATAATTTAAATAAGTCTCTAATTTGAATGTAATAGCGTTCCATACATTGATGACACTGTCCTCGCCTGCTGACATTATAATTGGTAGATCTGGATGGAATGAAACAGCTGAAACATTGTCAGTGTGGCCTTAATCAAAGGTGAATAAACATTACTTAGTTTGATAATCCCACACTTTGACATGCCCATCATCTCCTCCAGAGACTAGATGCGGTCTATCAAAACCCACACAAAAATCAATACAATTAACTCCTGCTTAATGGCCAACCAAAGAATAGTTAGCATTAGTCTTTTTATTTGTTACTGTCCAGATCTTAATGGTCTTATCTAGAGAAGCAGAGGCAAACATTGATGGATCTTTAGGATTAATAGCGATTTGCATGATGTAGTGATCATGGTCCTCATATGTATTTATCTTTTGCCAGCCTTTATCCCAATCAAACAATTTAATAGTCTAATCATCGGAACAACTCAAAAGGTAAGGTAATTAAGGATGCACAGCTAAGTATCTAATGAAATCAGTGTGCTCATCAATGACCTTAAGCTTTTCACTTGTATTATAGTTGTAAACTCTAATCTTAGTATCATCTGCTCCTACTACAATCCATTGTTTTCTTGCCACAAATTTAGCGCATCTTACTGGCGAGTTGGTAACTTCAAATGATCTCACTTATGTCTATTAGTTATAATCGAATATAGTGACGTTTCCTGCATATAGAGCTATTAGGACCCAAGGAAGAGTGGGATGGAGCTCTACTGATTTGACACGCTCTGATCTGCTTAAAAGCTTCTTTTTAATCTCTAGCTTCATATCGATTTAATTAGATATTATTAATAATTAATCGATTCAGAAAAAATAATACTTATTCTCTAAATGGGGTTTTGGGGTTTTGGGGTTTTGGGGTTTTGGGG